TTTTTTTTTTTTTTTTTTTTTAATAAAAAAATATGTGTATCTACAACTTTGTTTGTTTGTTACAATTTAGGCAAGACGTGTTTGTTTCTGTTTTTAACGGAAATTAACGCGCGTCTTTCAACGGCGCGGCACGCACTTGCACACGCAATCACGCGATGTCGTCAAATCATAATAAATTCAGGTTTGCAACGCGCAAGATATCGCTAAGTTCGTAATTTCTCGGGTGCAGCTGCGCTACGCGCAAGAAATGCTAGATTACTTGTTACTCATTTCGACTCGCTACCCTCCTTCAACGACTCGTCGTCGTCGGCTGGTCTGATGTCGCAGATAATACAAGACACTCTGCCAGGCTCCTTCAGTCGGCGCCACATAAACACGTCGTCCTCGTCTGTTGAGGAGCCGAGGGGGGGAGAGAAGAGGCTCGGATAATTATACACCGCTCTCATCTCTCACCAAAGCGTATCCTCTAACTAGCGCTAATAACGCCGCTAATGCTCTTCCGTGGAAACTGTTCGCGTATCTAACAACCGCCCGGAACGTCGCCCGAACGAAGATAAGATAGAAATAGCGCCGGGATATTGTCCGGGTTTCTTTCGGGTGGGAAAACATTGGCCGAGAATTGCGCGATATGTGTCTATTAGGACTATTAACCCCGTTAACTTTTTACAATACCGTTTCGAATTAGATGGGCTACGTGATAAAACCGTTTCTTTCCTACGAAAATCTATTTATTCGACTGCAATATGCATTTTGTCATATCGATATTGGCAGCCGTCAATACTTTCTGTAACTCTGACAAACCTATTTTTTTCGTTAAAACATTTTTGCGATATTTAAAAAAATATTCAAAAACTGTTTTGTCATATTTAAAAATATATTTTTATATACGTTGCGTAATACATTTTGACATTTATTTCATTGCAAAGGAAGGACAAATATTTTTTAGACTGATTTAGAAAAAAAATTTTTTTCCCCTATTAATCGACATAAAAATTTGTTCGTTAGTTATTACATATCTAGCACGTAGAATATCACGTATATGACCTGATTTGAGCCGCTCGTGATGATAAATATACTGTTCAAAATAAGAATAAAATGGAAAATATTTTACGCTCGATTCAATATAATACTCGAGCATTATGTCACATATTTCGTTTTCTATACACGAAGTGACGCAAAAATAAAATTTGCATGACTCTGTATTCAAAAGCTATAGTTAAAGCATACGGCGCATGGTTTGTGCGAACATTATCGTTATCGGTCTCCGGTAATAACAGACTATGCAGCGCGTTGCGCGCAATTACGTGAACGATTTATAGGTTTTCGTCACGCAGTCCTACTTCCTTTGACTTCTTAATGAGTGTGCCAGGCTTCTGAAGTTATTCCGTCGGAAAGTTTCCATTATTTTCCATCATCTCGCAATGAATCATGCTAATTATGTCTAGGAGTAATATTTATCGCGGTGTTTGAAAATTGCGAATAATTGCGTTAAATTGCTCTCCTAACACCAGCCGATTTTTCTAGAAGAAAGAAAAAAAAATTATATTCTCCCTCTTTCTCTTCGAGAGATTTAGCAAAGTCCATTGTTAAAATAGCATCCCGCCTACTGTTTCACTACGCTTTAGACTGACTTTGCTAGTCTGTGATTCCTCACGTCGCGTCTTCGTCGTAGCGAGCGTACTCGACGACGGATAATCACCCTCCGTTCACCGCGCATCGATCAGGCGAAGCGTAAACACGATTAGTATAACGCACGGGTAATGAACTAATCCCACCACGTCGTCGACGAGCACGAACGTGCGACGAGCTCGATCGACGACGTTCGCGTAACGTCGCTGACGTTTTCTCCCTCCTTTCCTCGTCGTTGCCGCCCGCGCCGTCCTTCCACTTCTCGCTTCGGCTCTTCTTCTTCCTCCTTTTTTTTTTTCCTCTCTCTACTTCTTCCTCTCCTTCCTCCTCGCGCGCTCCAGAAACGAGCGCGTTATTTATGGGTAGTCGGTTGCAACTCCACTGGTGCATTCTGCACAAGGGCTGCACGAAATCGACAGCTGTCGCCTCGTTCGGCGGCTCCGTATATCCATCGCCCCTCACCCTTCCCCTCCCCCTCGCCACCCCCCCCCTCGGACTTTTCCACCGATGTGGCAGCTTCTGCCGTATATCCTACTCCTTTGCCCGGAGGTTAAGTTTGTCATCCTATTCACGTACGTACGTATCCATACATTATGTACCGGCGGACGTATAAAGCGTCGCGTTAGTCGCACGATATTTCCGTGCGACATGATTTCTGGTAAAAGCGCTTAAGTGCCCCGTTGCTGCGGCTGGTATCGACTGACAAGGAGGAGGAATTCCCGTAAATACGATAAAATTCGAAAAATTCTTGCGCGCGCGCGCGCACACACACGGCGTAACGCACGATTGATTCTCGCGCCGCGGCGAAAGAGGAAAATTTTCAAGCGCGTTCGAGAGATAGAGATCTCTCGGTGTCGACGGAGATGAGCGCCGCGGAAAGCTTCCGTGAGGGTGTGCCGTATAAAATAAATAAGATATTGTAACGGTTCAAAATATATATTTCCGACACAGTCGTAACCCCCCGGTAAACTCGGACTTATCT